CCACTTTCGGCATTTTGCTTACCTGTCGGATTAACTTCCTACCTTCTGTTTCGCTGTCCCACCCTGAAGGAGCCCTCCAAAGGCACAGAGGCCGGGTCTGAGATGGGTCCCTGGTCAGCTGCAGAGCTCCTCTCTTATGGGGTGGGGTGGGGGGAATGAAAACGGGGATGAGGCCGGTGGGGACAGCAAGTGGCAAGAATTGCCTTGCAGGCCACTTCATCCCAGCTTTCTTTCCATCCACCAGCATCTGGGAGGAGTGCCTTGGTTTTTCAGACTCCTTCTCCCTGTTATTTAACATGGTTTGCCCAGGGAAGTGGGAAAGCCATGTTCTGTTTTTAAATAGCTGGACCTCTAAGCCTCCTGATTTCCTCCCACCCCCACCCCACCCCCCAGATTGTGTAATCCTGGCCAGATAACCTCCTGGGGAGTGACAGCCTCTGCTCTTTGCTCTCCAGAAGACCCTCCCTGTGGGTGTCCGAGAGCATATTGACTCCGAGCGAGGGAGCAGGAGGGGAAAGCGGGGAGGCTGGCAGCCCCCTTGCTTAGAGGCCCTCCGCCAGACAAGCCTCCACACTGCGGTGGCCACTGCCAAAGCCTCCAGACGTCCGTCCTCCTGTTGCCGCCTTGGTGGATTATTTAATCATCTTCTTCAGAAGATTCCCAGGAAGGTGCCCACCCCCGGGAAAGGGGGCGGGCGGGCTGTTGCTGGCTTTTGCCTGGTGTGTAATTGATCCCGGAGTTGTTCTGCAAAGAGAGGCACAGAGCGCGGGAAGAGGGGGGCAGGGTGGGTGTTAACTCCAGCATCTTGGTTATTCCAATTACTTACAGCCAGGATTCAGCCTCTCAAGCTGCCGAGAGGCACAGCGGGCTCTTTTCCATGCCATTCCCTTTCTGCCATCTGCAGCGCTGTCTATAAATACTTAAATGCTAATGGGGGGGGGAAGGAAGGAGAGAGAGAGAGACTCCCCCTTTTTAATGTCCCCCCTCTTCTCTGCAGCAGCCCCGCTGTGCTCTTCCCCTCCGGGACTCTTTCTCTGCAAGGCTGGGAGAGACGCTGGGTGTTCACAGAATCCCCTGGCCGGAGGTCTGAGGCTGCAGCTCAGGTGGCTTCAGATGGGTCTCCCGTTTACTCTTAGGAGAAAAGAGCAGACACGAGAGGCTGTTTGTTCTTCATTCACAGGCAGGTAAGCCCTCCCCAGCAGGCTTAAGCAATGATCCCAGGCTGTGTTTGCCTCGCGGGCTGCTCCTTTCTTTCCAGCTCAAGTCACCTGCAAATGCTTCTGGAGGGTCTCGGCACCTTTGCCTCTTTCCCTCCCTCCCTCTTTCTTTTCTTCTCCAGGCTGGAGATTCGTGGCCACGGCTCCACGCCTTCTTTGCCATGTTAGCTTTTGTGGACCCGTCTTGTGCTGAGCTGTCCGTGCTCAAGGACTCAAAGGGACGCCTTGCTTGCTTGTCCAGCCTCTGGTGTGGATGTTGTCACCTCAACAGCTCACCTGCGGCTATACCTAAATGTCAGGGCAGGCGAGTGAACCCAATGGAGGATCCAGGGCTGGGGGGATTACCTCCTGTTACCTCCCACTCCTCACCCTTCCAACATGAAACCTGTTTAAAAATACTACAGAGCAGAGTGTCCAACCTTGGCTAATTGAATAGTTGTGCACTTCAACTCCCAGAATTCCCTAGCGAGCATGGGGAATTCTGGGAGTTCAGGTTCACAGGTCTTAAAGTTGCCAAGGTTGGGCATTCCTGATCTAGAGGGAGTTGGGGTTGCTGGGGCTGCCAGGGGCTCCTGCTTATGCCCTGTAAAGCCCTACCTGACCTAGGACAACCCACCTCCTTACCTACCCACCTGCTTGTAAGCAAAGACCCTCTGTGGCACCCCCTTTTTTCTCCCCTCATTGTCGTCAAGAGGTGTGGCTCCCTCCCCTTTCTCTGGGACCCCTCCTCCCCCCCTCCCTCCCTCCCAAGAAGGGCCCTGGCCGGCTGGCTCCATCTCTGCCGGCCTCCTCAGTGAGGGAGGGGCCTTTTGTTCAGACAAGCGCTTTGCTGCTAAGCTGACTTACTGTCAGAATAGGCTGCAGTGAGTCTTTTTTATGCGCTTTAATTACAACGTCATTATTTTATCCCTACTTTACAGTTAGCCATTTTGAGCACTGTAATTAGTGGGAATGCTGGATTTCAATGTAATAAGCGAGAGCCCCAGAAAATCAGTGGCTGGGCGGCCTCCCTGTTTTGAAACCCCTTTGGGGAGCGTCTCCCCAGAAGATCCCTCCATCTGCTCCCCCTCCCTGCTCTCAACCCCCCCTCCTCCCGGCCTGGTCCAGCAGACGGAGCTGTGACTGTGGCCCTCTGCTCTTCTCTGAGACTGGCCCCCCTGACCTTGGAAGAGCCAGGGATAAAGGGAGCGCCTGGGTGGAGAGGAGAGGACAGGAAGGAGTCCTTGTGTCTCAGAGGAAGATTTAAAGCAACGGGGGGGGGGATATTTATTTATTTATTTATTGGTTTGATTTATATGCCGCCCTTTTCTGGAGACTCAGGGCAGCTTACAATGCGTTAAGCCTTCATACTTTTGTATATACCTGCTTAGTAGGGCTTTCGGCCCGCCCCAAGCGGTGTTCTTTTTATATACAGAGTCAGCTTATTGCCCCCACAAACTGGGTCCTCATTTTACCTACCTCGAAAGGATGGAAGGCTGAGTCAACCTTGAGCCTGATGAGATTTGAACTCACAGTAATTGCAGGCAGCAGGTGTTACTTAACAGTGCTTTAGTCTGCTGCGCCACCAAGGCTCTTAGTGGATAGTCAGTGGATCCTCATTAGTATTGTTTAAAAATCCTGATGAATTTATGAACAAGGTCTGATCTTTTGGCCTGAGGCTCACTTGCCGGGGTCCGGAATTTGGAAAACGGAGCAGGGTTTCTTTACCGGCACGAACCAACCTTCTTGTCCCTCTTCCTCTCCATGTATTCTTTGATTTTCCTGCAATTGGATCCCGTTTCACATCCTCTCCAAGAAAAGGCCTAAGGAGGCGGCTCCCCCTTGTCCATCAAGTCAACCCTCCTTCTTGGCAACTGCAGGAAAAAGTCCGTTGCTGTTTTTGGCATAATTTTTGGAAGTGGTTTGCCAGTCCCTCCTTCCCGGGAGAAAAAAAACCTGGTCCCAGAGTCGCCCGGATGGTTTTTGTATCCATGGCAAGACTGGCACTTGCACCCCCCTGGCTTTGCTCCGGCACCTTTAACCACTACGCCAAACTGCAACTCTACGGAGCAAGACGAAAGCTTTTGGGGGGGGTGCCAGGGAGGGTGTCTTTGCCTCTCTTAACACAAGAAGTAAGAGCTCCTCCTAAGCAGCGTTGGTTAAATGAGAGGCAAAAGAGCTTAGAGTTAGATGCTCGGTCTCTTTTCTACAAGGTTTTGTGGCTGGCAAAAGTTAGGTAGATCTCTGCCTTAGACCAAACTCTTCTGGGGAGGGCTGTCACCCAGGTCGCACCCCGTGGCATCCTGTTGCGACTCTGGAGATGCCATGAGACCGGTGGGTGCTATGGGCAGCCATACGCTACACCTTTAGTGGCCCACAAGGGCGCTGGGGGCACCCGGAACAGGATGGTCTGGACGAGATGGGCTCCCCTCTGGTGGTACCTCCCCCCCCCCCCCCGTCTCAACCTTAGCGAGCAACTGAATTGGGAGCTCCCTCTCCTCGAGACCATTCTCTGCCCCCCACCCACCCCCCGGTGTTATAAACACATTCCCCCAGTCCATCCGGCGCACTGTATCAATCTTGTTTAATAGACTGGAAAGCTTAATGCGCAGTGGTGGGTCACGGGGAGCATCGGGGTGATAGATTGCGCCTTCCCGGAGTCGAGCACCGTTGATGTATAATGAAATATTTATGATTTATTCCAGCTAATAAACTGGAATGAAGTGTGTGATATATGTGAGCAGATGGGGAACTATCGACGCTGTTTTCGTTTGGGGAGTGTGGGGAGGTTGGTGTCCATAACACATACACACATCGCAAACTTCCAATGCCGCAGGCTCTACCTTTCGCCTGACGGTGGTGGGGACAGCCCTTCCCCCCACCCCTCATTAATCTCCCTCCCTCTAATTGTCCGCCGCTCCAGCACCTCTTTTTGTACCAGTGAAAATCCCTTTCGAGAGAGAGCCATTTATCCGGTAGCCTTCGCTCTGGGGTTTGGGGAGCCCGGCCACTTGGGGGGGGGGAGGGCGGGCAGGGATAATTTCCTGGGATTTTGGACAGATTTATCAGGAAAAGGATCTGAAAAATATTTCCTCCTGGAGCTCCAAGGAGATTGAGCGATACCCTCTTCCGTGGCCCTGTTGTTGGTCATCCAGGAAAGATTGGATTAAAGGGGTCCATGTGCTCCGACCTGATGCTATGGAAGTTTTTAGGGGTGTGTTCTGCACCCATTAAGTAGCACCCATGGCCTCTCTGCCCCGTCATTGTGGCATTCTCATCCCATCAAGCAATGGTCCTTCCAATCCCCAGGGGTGGTGGGCCTTCCATTTCCCCTAAAGTGCAGCAGCTGCGTGGATTGTACTCCATCATTCTGTGTGACCCACGTAATACCTGCAGAAACATGCCTTAGCTCGGATTGAAGTCCCTCCCTCTGATTACACCAAAGCCCCCCCCCCATCCTCCTGGGATCCCAAAAGAGCCCTGGGGCTTGGAATGCCCATTGCTTGATGGGCCAAGCAGGCTGAACTGGAGGAGAATGGAAGGTGCCCAGATGCGTGTGAGGAGATGGCAACCGAGGAAGAGGCTGCCCGGTGAAGGTGGCACCGAAAGTCCTTCAGAGGGCCCTGCAGTTGACGGTGGTGCAGGATTAAGGCCAATTTAAGGGAGGGTCTCTGCCTTGGAGCTCCACGTCCGGCAAGGACCTCTTAGCTCTGGCACCCTGGTTCTGGACGTCAGCAGGTTGTTCCCGGAGCCCATCCCCAGAATCTGTGCCCATCACGCACATCCCTTCTTTCCTTTTCCCAGGTGATACAGCTGTATATCAGGAAGGTGTCTACTGGATCAGGGGACGGACCTCGGTGGACATCATCAAAAGCGGAGGTTACAAGATCAGCGCCCTGGAAGTTGAACGCCACCTGCTGGCCCACCCTAGCATTGCAGGTGCTGTCTGCGTGCTGCCATTTTGCTGTTGATTAATGGAGGGCTAATTATGTACCCGGCATTTTACCAAGAAGCTGCAAAATTTGGTTTTCTTTCTACCGGGCCCATTCCCCAAGGCAGAAAGGTGAAGCGATCTCTTTCAAATGCCATGAAGGAATTTCTTTAAAAGGTCATAAAGTTAAACAAAGACTGGACAGACGAATAAAAGTGCAACTTGCATGAAGGAGTTAGGGCCAATGAAATCCACTCCAGCCATCTGCCTCCCGTTCCTAAGATTAGTTGAACCAACTACTTGAATAACTTGAAGTCAACGACTTGAAATCTGTAGGAACAGGACCCGTCTTCACTTAAGAGTCCAGGATGCCTGGTAGGTAAGAGTTGCTCTGGCCCTTTTCCCAACGTGCTTGTTCTCCCTTCTCCTGCAGATGTTGCTGTGATCGGTGCTCCAGACATTGTCTGGGGTCAGAAGGTCAGCGCTGTGGTAGAACTCCACAAGAGCCAGGAATTGTCTCTCCAGACCCTCAAGAAATGGGCCAGGTAAGTTGGGGCGCCAGAAGCAGAAGCCAGCCAGCCAGGCCTCTCCACTGTTTCTCCTGAACCATCAGCCGGGCCTTTCCTTGGAGGCTACACTGGAGGGGTGTGTGTCCCTGGAGGGAGGAGATGGGGAGTTGCTGCAGCTAACCAAGAGGCTCTTCTGTGCCCAGGGAGACCATGCCCTCTTACACCATCCCTTCTGAGCTGCTCCTGGTAGAGGAAATTCCCCGCAACCAAATGGGCAAAGTGGATAAGAAGCAGCTCCTCAAACGATTCTACGGCACCTTGTGAAAGCCTCCATCTCTACCCCGTGGAACAAGGGTCTCTGTGGCCCAAGAGCAGGACGGGACGCCCTTCCTTCAAAACCGGACACGGATCCTTGGGGGCTGATTTGCCTTTAGCTCGTCACCCAGAGGACCAAACAGGACCTGTGGTTTATTAGTGGCCGATCAGGCTTTGCGCTGCTCAGCCTCCTTCCATGCTGGGGGACGGGGAAGAGGCCTTGGCGTGGCCTGTGGCCCTGCGGGAGGTGTACGGACAGAAGCCACGGCCTCCCTTGGCTCAGCCAGAGGGCAGAAAGGCCATGAACATCACCTGAGCACAGGCGTCTCATCCCTCCTCCTCTGGTGCTCTTACCAAACACGGGCCCGATCCTCCCCTCCCCTCTGGAGAATGGAAAATCTCTCTCCCAAGCGCACCTGGGAGCCAAGGAATCCGATGCAGAGTTGAAGAGACAAGTTGGTCAAAATTGAATTCACGTCTGTTCATATCATCACCCCCCTTTCCATGCTATTCTGCACAACTCTGGCTTTTTAAAAAATCCACGTTACATTTATATTTACATTTCTATTCCTGAATGTATTTCCCATGAAACTGCCACGGTCCCGGGACCCCTCCCCAAGGGCCTCACGGAGCAGCTTTGCTGCCGGGGGGGGGGATTCTGAGGGTCACGGGTGAGATGCTCAGGGGAAGACCCCACAGTGAGCTCCGTTTCTCACTTGCCATCAACTGCTGTGGCCCCTGCCCCCCCCCCTTTCCCTGTGTGTGGCTGGGGCCAGAGGAGATACTGCTGCTTTTGCGCATTCATTCGGGGGGGGGGTCCAGGGCTTCTCCCCCCCCCCCCCTTCCTTTCTTTTTTTTTCTTTCCTGCATTGTCGTGTCCCCCCCCCCCCCCCCATTTTTATGGTGCAGTAAAAGAGGCCTTCATTAGAGGAATGTAATCTCAGGGACAGTTAATAACCCGCCGTAAATTGCAAATTGGGATCTGTCCTTTTATGGCTTCAGCCCAGCCTCCGCCTGTTTGGCTACAGATGCAGCGTGTGGAGGGAAGGAGAGGATTATTAGGGAAGAACAAATAAAGGGCGACCGTCCTTAACAATGCAGGCGCATCATTTCTCTCTCTCCGCCTTCCTCAGAGGTAGCTTCCCAGAGAGAAACCTTGGATCCTGGGACCTTCCCAGCCAACCGTGGGCGATTGGATGCCATCCTTTGACCTGTGCTGGCCAGGATGACGGGGTGTCCCAGGAGTGGTAGCAGCAGACGTCTGGGGTGCGTCTCGTGGGAGTGCAGCTCCCTTTCTCATGCGGTGTGTGTGTGTGTGTCTCCTGGGAGACTTCGGGTCAGGGGAGGCTGCAGCTGACCCTCCTCTCTCCTGCAGCCCAGAGCTCAGCTGGGAAGCCACTGGCTGCTCTCCTGTCGGCTTCTACCTGGCCGTCTGGGGTCAGCCAGACATAATGGAGGCTAAGAAACGCTGCTGCCGCCGCCGTTGTTTATCCCCTTCCCCAGTCAAACACCTTCGCCTGTCTAGACCCTTCGCCTGGGCAGGTGATAACCCACCATCAGCCCTCAAAGCTCTTTCGTTGCGGGAGAGACCTTGCCACTGTCGGCCTCAACATCTGTGCTAGAGAGGCGATGACAGTTCTGCAAGACAGTTAAAAATAAATATTCCCAGGATGCCCATTTCTTGAAAATCTGGAGCTGGAAGGGAAGCTCCACCTTTGTTACCAAGTTCAACTGGCCTCCCTCTTCTTGGTCCTGCACCCTTCCTCTACCTAACGCCCTAGAGATGTGCTGGAGGCAGGCAAGGAATTCTGGGAGTTGGAGTCCGGTGCGTCTCGGGGACATCCTTGAGCTTACCTGTGAAAAGGGGAGGAAATTCAACATCTTCTCTCCTCCCCACAAATCATCCGGGTGTGTGTGTGTGGCAGGAAGAAGGCTTGCATCCCGTCCCCCCCCCCCTCAGTGGGAAGGATGGAGGCATCCCCCTTCGTTAAAACTTCAGCACACAGTAAATTTCTTCACTTACCGTATAGATCAATATCAAATTATCATGTCTCACATTCATAACTCTTAAGCAAGCCACAATGGGGAGAGACAAGGTCACGGGAGAATAAATAGCAGCCGGCGCACTCCCCGATCCATCACTCCCGACAAGCCCCAGCTCTTCTGCACCCGGCCACTGACAAGATCATTAATAAAACCCCACCAGGGCCCGATCGATGGGCCTGATGGATGAGCGCAGGTAGCAAAGACAGGGAAACAGCTGCCTGTCACGCCTGGCTGAGGAATGGGAGTCCGTCGAGGAGGGGCTCTGCCAGCTCCCCTGGGGGCCATTCGGGGCCAGGCGGGAACGTTTGACTTTGGCACTGGAGCCCCTGCCTGACAGGTCCCTCGGGAGCCTCAAGGGCACTGCCTGCTGGGCCAGGAGGAGACCCACGCGCCCCGTTTCCCCCTGCGACTGATCTGGGCTGCCCCCCAGCAGGAGGAAGCTGCGTTTTCCAACTCACAGCCTTGACCGGGAAGTCCTCCTTGGAGGCGAAAGCCACCTGAGGATACCAGGGTACTTGATACCCAGGTAGATCTCGGATGTACCAGGATACTGATCGGGTATCTGTCCAGGTGGGGCTCGGCCAGCCTTGACCGAAGTAGAGTTGGGCCCCGCCGGTTGGGGTTAAATCCAGCCCTTGCTTCAGCCTCCTGGGCCTTTTAACTCAGAAGGGAGCTGATTTGCTTGGAGGGCTCCACAAATGGAGCTGTGATGTTGTGTTTATCCAGCTACGAGGCTGCTGGGTTGTGAAGCCACCGCTGAGAGCGAACACATTAGCTGATGTGTGGAACCTGGGAGGGGGGTTTCCTGCATGCAAATCTTCCCTGGGCCTTACCCAAAATTGCCCCCATGGAGGTGCGAGCAGCTTGTGGGGGGATTGTGAGCTGCTCTGACCATTAGATTTTGGACCTTCCTGCCTAGCGTTTGGCCTGGGGGGGTCTGCTTGCTTTTCTGTTCCTGTTATCAAAGTTCACGTTTGCATCACTTTAACACAGACGCAAACACACTCAAGACCCCCCCCTCCCGGAAAAACAGCGGGGATTGACAGTGGGACTGCAAAGTTGCAGAAAATTCCCGCTGGGATCCGGCTGCTTTTCTCTTTGCTGTGACTCCACTCACAGCAAGGACGCCTGAAGTGGCTGGAGGGGGTTTCTCTGGGGGCCAGTGGGGAGTCCTTTGGGGGGGCCTCTGTGAGGCAGGATGGCCAACGGAGGGGTGCCCTCCGGCCACTGACCGAATCCAGGCAAGCCAGTTATTATGAAGGAAAAACCTGTCCTACAGGCTTGGCTTTGAGGTTGCCATTTTGCCATTGCCCTCTGCCATGGATTGGAGGGAGGTGGGATGGCAGCCCCTCCCCCCGGCCATCAACCGGGGGTGGGGGCACATCAAAGTCGCTCAGCTGACAGAACAAGGAGCCAACGGGTGGCTGAGCATGCCTGCCCTGGCCAACGAGGGCGGGATGGTGACCCTCTCTAGGGGTGGCAGCTCTGGCTTCTTGCTCAGGGGGGCTGCTCAGAAAGACCAACAGGAACCTCCCCCCCTTGCAAGCACCAGCCCAGGCCTGATCTGAGAGGTCGTCACAAGCCCTGAGGCAGCCATCAGAATTAGGAATAGCTGTGACCCTGTCCCCACTGCCCCCCCCCAGGGCACCTTCAGCCAGGCAACAACCAGGGCCCCCCAGCTGAGGAGGGTCCCCAATGCTCTCCTGCCCTGCCTGGGCTCTTAGGCTTCTTTCCAGCTTCCCATTGCCCCCCCCCCCACCAGCTGCTCCTGGCCTCTTTGCCTGCAGGGGGGAGGAAGCGCTTCCCGCCGCCCACTCCCACGCTCCTGCTCCCCCAGGGCTGGGCATTGCCCCCCTCTTTATGGCTGACATTATCTTTTATTGCGGTATAAAATCCTAAGCTTCACTGCCCTTTATTGCTGCAACCCACAGCAGGGCTGCTGTCTGCCAGGAAAAACCGAGGGGGTGCAGCGTGGATAGGTGCAGCCCCCCCCCGTTCTGCTGGAGAATGGAGGAGGGGCCCAAGCCAAGTCCTCCCTCCACTCAAGGGGGTAGCCTTGGCCCAACAGCCAGTGCTGCCTCCTCTCTTAGCAGAGAAGGGATCTCATGCCACCCTCGGGTCCCCCCCCCCTTGGTGTGCTCCAGCACAACTTCTGTTCCTGTCCCGGAGGGTCTCCAGGCGGACTTTGCCAACTGGTGCCCACCAGGGAGGTCTCTGGGCACTTCTGCCTGTCAGGGGACTTCCCTGGCCCAGCCCACTTCTTTGCTGCTGTAACACCAACCCAGCACCCCTCTCCTTCCCTCCAAACTACGCCAGTGCTCTATGAAGCAGAGGGCAAGCGTGCGTGTGTGTGTGTACATCTATCCCCTCTGTCCTTCGTCCAGCCTGCCAGCAGGGTGACTGGCGAGTCCTTGGCCTCCTTTAACGCTGATGGAAGTGACACACTCCAGCTTCTGGCTTTCAGGGCCGGCCGACCGGCCATGTGGGTCTCCCCAGCAGCTGAGCCAGAGGCCCCGGCAGGGCAACACGCTGGGCTCCATCAGCCCCTGTCAAGGAGGATCCCCCCCCTCTGTCTCTCAAGTCGCCGGCCCAGCCTGAGCCACTTCACCCAGGGTGCCAATGGCAGGGAGCATCTGCTGGCTGCCCCCGTGCCACACCGCATCAGGGTCAGGCAGAAGGCGGCTGACAAGGGGCTGCCAGGCAGAAAGGCAGCCATGGAAGCTCCCCCCTCTCCAGCCCCAGCAATTGACTATCTGGCAGGCCACCAAGGCAGGGGATCAGGCGCTCCTGGGCAGGTTCAAGCCAGGTGCATCCAAGTCCCCCAAAGGGCCACTCAGGCCAGAGCAGGCCTTTTTGCACCCAGGGCCGAGGCCGTGAAGGACGGAAGGCAAATGGAAGGCACAGGGAAGGGCAGCCTTTGCCCCGTCACCAGACGGAAGATGGCGCTTGGCTTGCTTTCCGGCTCCAAGGCCAGAATCGGGACCTTCGGGGGGCACCCGAGGGCTGTGGGGGTGCAGGAGGGGAACAACAGAGGAAGGGGCTGGATGTGCAGGAGTCTATGAAACTATTCCTGATGCATCAGAAAGGGACGTATAATCCTTTCTCCCTCGCTGTGGCTCCATGAAGCCAATTGGCAGGAAAGTCAAGATGGCCAAAGGTAGTTTTTTTCTGTAATTGTTTGAAAGGATGATGCTTTTATGTTGTTTTTTGTTTGGAAAAAATTTTTTTTCCTTGTGTAACTGTTGAATGCAACCTCCTGTTTCGTGAGGTGGCCCTGGGGGCCTTAGGAAAGAGCCGTGAAACGAAAGGGGGCCTTTCCTTCAGTCGGGATTCGAGGCTTGGCTGTCCGTCTGTGAGCACGGAGACTTTTCTGCCTGGCGATGCAACACAGATCTCCGGAAGGCCTTTCCAACCGAGCCTTCAGGAGGGCGGAGAGCTGGACTCTCTCTGGGCCGGGGAACGTTGTGGAGGCCCCGTGGGAGCCCTTCCCATATGCCTCCTGTTCCTCTGAGTCTCTTCTTGCCCTTCAGACTCTCGTCAAGGCCGGGCACTGATGTGGGGTGACAGGACAGCGTGGCCAGGAGCCGCCCAGGACAGATCAGCAGTTCCAGGAGACGGTATCGGAAGCGGCAGCTGGAATCGGCCAGTGGTCTGGGAAGGGGATTGGCTGCCTTGGCCACCCTTCCTCACGGGTGCACACGAGATCCTGAAGGAGTCACTGGGTCCCTCTGGGTCCCAAGGCCATGTGGCCAGAAGTGAATGACGGAGGAAGGTCTCCCCACCATCTGAATGTTTCTGCCCCTCTAAGGAAGCCAGGCTGGGTGAGAGCAACTATTCAAAGAATAACAAGAGTCGGAAGGGACCTTGGAGGTCTTCTAGCCCAACCCCCTGCTCAGCAGGAGACCTCGTACCATTTCAGACCAATGGCTGTCCAGTCTCTTCTTAACAGTGTTAAGTGTCCAGTGATGGAGCACCCGCAACTTCTGGTGGCAAGTTGTTCCACTGATGAATTGTTCTCACTGTCAGGAAGTGTCTCCTCAGTTGTAGGTTGCTCCTCTCCTTGATGAGTTTCCACCCGTTGCTTCTTGTGCTGCCTTCAGGGGCTTTGGAGAACAGCTTGACTCCCTCTTCTGTGGGGCAGCCCCTGAGAGACTGAAAGATTGCTTTCACTTAGCTTGCCGTATCAGATCCGGGCACCTGAACGGGCTCCTCCAGCAACGTCAGCTAGACTGGGAGGTGGGGAAAAAGAAAGCCTGAAGGAGGCCCTGGCAGATCCCCCATATCGCCCCCAAGAAAGCCGCTGCCCGAGGAATCCCCTTGGTGGGAAGGGCTCTCCTCCCTCCACACATGAGGAAAGGCAAAGGGGCTTCTCCGCTCTTTGCCAGTGCTGGGGCTCCCCCTGCTGGCCGCCAAGCAGCATTACCAGGTTACAGGCATGCATCACTAGGGCAGCCGATGCTTCTTTGCGAGGCCTGAAGCTCTGAAGCCGAAGGGCCCCGCCGGTCAGAGAACCTGGCCCGGATGCTGCCTTCGTGGCCCTTCCAATCCTCATGCCGCTCCTGTGTTTCCCAAGCTGGCCGGGCACTCTGTTGACGGTAGTTTAGCCTTGGAAGGACTTCGAAGAGGAAGCCAAGAAGAGCTGCCAACACAGCTGGCTCCCTCCATGGGAAGAGACCTCTGGCTGTCCGGGGCAGGCGCACCCGTGCCCAGCTGGTGCTGCAGCTCTGCCAGATCTCTCCCTCTCTCACAACCCCCCACCCCCTCAGGAGTGCCAACCGCCTCAGAGCCAACCGAGGTGGCAGCAGCTGCTACCGCTCAGCCTGCCAGGGCAGAGTGTGGGGTGCCCTCCGTGGGGAGAGGAAGGCAGCACCCCTCCCTTAAAGAGCTCCTGGTTGGTCCACAGTTGCTGAGGGGCTTCTGACTCCATAGAGGGACTAGTCCCATCTGTTAAAATCCTGGGGGGTTGCGGGGAAAACAGTGGGAAACATTTTCGTGATATTGGCAATAAAACCACAGGGACATGTTGACAAAATCACCCAATACTGAGCTCATCTTGAAGAGGACTAGAAAACTAAGGATGTCTCTTCACACAGCAAATACTAAATAGCACATTTCAGCCTTGCAAAGTAAAAAATTTAGTTCCATAATTTGCTAGCAGAAGAATGTCTGTGGCCAGCAATTGTTGAGGTTTCTGTTCATTCCTGCCCAGAGTTACCCTTCCTTCCCCTTCAGCTTCTCTTTGGAACGGCTCTTCTCCCCCTGGATTCCCTGCCCACCCGCCCCCTCAGCTCAGCCCATCCGGCCCTTTTCTCCCAGCCTCTGGACCGGCCCCAACACATGTGCTGTCTGTCACAGCCGGCCGAGGCTATTTTAGCTCCTGTCCCAGGCACAGCCGCCTCGGCCCCCTTGGAGAGGAGCAAAGCGAGCAGGGCTCCAGCAACCGCCAACCAGCCCCCTCCCAAGATGGCCCCCCTCTTCTGGCTCAGCACCTGCCTCCTGGCCACCCTCGCAGTCCAGGTAAGCCAGGCGAGGTGGGGCTGAGGTGGTTGTTCTTCGCTGGGTGTGTCTGGCTTCTTTTGGGGTCCTACAGCCCCACTCTGTTCCCAGGAGACCCCAGCCATTCAGGTGGGCTTCAGGGCCCCTCTTAGAGGGAGGGAGGCTGGATCTCCCAGCTCTCGGAAGGGATCCAGCCAAGGATCTGCTGCTGGAGACCAGAGGGGCTCCCAGGTGGAGAGTCCACAGTTCCTCCCTTCACACCCTAGTCAGTTCGAGATCCCTCAGGAGGGAGCAGCTCCGGAGCGCTTTCTTTGGCTGTGGGGAGGGAATCCTCAGCAGCTCCTGTTTTGGACTACAGAGACCATGCTGCAGGACTTGTGATGGTGCCCCCAATCCTTAAATTGTAGGGGAAAGGGTCTCGGCGTCTCCTCCAGCTCTTGGGGCTGATCTGTGAGAGAGAAGCCCCTGCAGGAGGACCGGGCTTGGTGAGTGCCCATTGCCAGGGTCCTGCCCGGCCCAGAAGAGGCTCCTCCTGGCTTTATGGTGATCCAAGAGGTGGCAACATCTGCACTGGGCCAGGATGGCAGTCCTGGAAAAGGCCTTTGTGTTAGCTCACCAGGTGTGGCCCATGTCAAAAGGGCTTCCCATTAACCTTGCTTTAAAGTCAGGAAAGGGGGCTGATGCCAGGCTCTCCTCTCCCCCAGGCAGGAAACGTAGGAGGCAGAGGAATCAAGCAGGCCCAGAAGGCTTTCCTGGCTTCTGGGTACCACACTGAAGGCGCCCCACCCCGTTGTGGATGCTTCCCTGCATGGGGGGGAGGGGCAAAGAGGTTTTAAACACGAGAGGGAGCCCACCTCCCTTCAAAAGACCCAGAAGTTTCTCTTGCCCACCCCTCCTTTGTGGGGCAACGGTGCTGCTCCTTTGGAGGTGGAGACGGGGCAAAATGGCTGGCATTTGTCCCAGCTAGGCAGCCCTTTGCCCAGGGAGAGAAGGAGGCGCCCCCATCGTCTCTGCCAGCTGCCCCAAGACAACACAAGCCTGGAATGTCGGGTGGGGGGCAGCTGGGAGCAGAAGAATGTGAGCCCTTGGCTGGCGGTGGGTGGGGAGTGGGCTTCATGTGGCTTGCATTAGATCTGCTTTGCTGCAAAGTTTAACGGGGGGGGGGGAATTGCACGGAGGGGAAGGCAAGCCAAGGAAGGGCACAGTTCATCTCCCTCCCCACAAGGTCTTGTCTGCCCCCAGAGACTTAAACTGGGCTGAGCTTGGCCAGTTCTGTGGCTGGTAGAACCCCCCTCCCCACATTTCAAACCAACCCACTTCTGTGCAAGGTGGCAAGACCCCCACTATATCAATGGCTTTTCCTGGGAGGGGGCGTTTGCAATTCCCATCAACTGAGCAGCTCCAGCATCTCAGAAGGGCACCAACTTGGGGAAGCCTGCCTGCCGCCCTACCCCACCCCACCCCACCCCCTGCCCCCGAGCTGGAGAGGAGAGGAGCGCCCTGCTCCGTGCCTGGGCATTGGGGGGAGGCGGCATTCTTCCAGCAGCAGCTTCTGCATTTGTTCAGCCACCTGCTGGGGCGGAATTCAGAGCTGGGCAAGGAGGAGTCCCATTACAAGGCCGGGAGAAGGGAGGGTCCCTTTGAGTAGCCTCAGGGTGGGAGGTGAAGTCTGGGCAGCCTGTGCAGCATCTCCGTTCAGCAAAGGGACCAGCCTGCCAGGCTTGCCAAGCTCCCTCTCCCCCCACCCCCAAGGGTCAGCTGATCCGCACAGCGTCTTGTCTGGGCTCTGGAGGGGCTGGATCCAAGATCTGAAGGGCCATTGGGACCAGCAGGGGCCCCTCCAAGCACGAAACGCTTTGAGACCCTCTCTGGAAGACATCCCCACGAGGCCTTCAGCCAGCCCCCAAGGTTAGGGGGCAGCAGGAAGGTGGTTTTCTCAATTGCAGCCTCTGCACTACAAAATGGGATGAAGTCAGATTTTTCCCACGTCTGTTTTAGGCAGCTTCTGGAAAACCTCGTGATCTCCCTGAGGAATGTTTCATAGTTCATGCTTCCAAAATTATATTATATTATAATGGCTTTTAATTAAAATTGGCTTATAGGCCATGGTTTCGCAAACCTATTTTGGGCAGGAAGTAGCCCTGGTATGACCAGGATCTTGAAAACTGGCTTCTGGAAACGAAGGAAGGCTCCGAGGCCGGCTGCGGCTGGCGTGTCTGGCCTCAGCGAGTCACCCAGAGAGTCTGGAGGGCGATGCAGTCATGTGGGAAAGGGCCAGAGGCCGAATTCTCCCAAAACACAGTCAGGGAAGGAATGCCGGATGTCCCAGCCGCTCCCTTGGGATGAGGCTTGGCTGAGCAATCCCACGCAAGGCAGGGCTGGTGGGGAGGAAAGAGGAGCAGCTCCGGCCCCCGGCCCCTGCTGGGCTTCCTGGCTGGACCCCCTGCCCTGGCCTCTCAAGGGGGGCTGAGAAGGCCTCTCCTGGGGCATTGGGGGGTCCCATCACAAGCAACATTGCCTCAGCCAAACTTGCAATAGGTTTTCTTCCAAAAACGCTGCTTTGCCGTCCCTAAGGAAAGGAAAGCAGGGGAAAGAAGCCGGGCCCCCTTCAGGGACTCTCGCGGTCTTCCAGGCTGTAGGACGCTCTTAACCTGCCGGAGCTCTTGCCTGATTCAAGAAGAAACGTGCCCAACCCTCCAGCCACGACGGAGAAGTTCTTCCTCAGCAAAACTCTGCCTCCTCCTCGGTCTGAACCAGGAGAGCTTCCAACCTTCGCTTGCAAGGCCTGAGCGCAGCTGCTGGCCAAATGGGCCCCATCTGGGGATTAATCCCTGCAGTGGGGCAGAGGAGGGAGGGGGGCGGGGGACATAGCAGAGCAGGAAAAAAAATCACAGGGACTCTGGCGGCACCTGTCCAGAGGCATCAACCTCCTTCGGTTAATAAAATGCCTTGGTAAGACAAGAGGCCTCTGGATTCCTTCTGGTTTTTCCTCAACCCAAGCCCTCCGCCTTCCGCCTTCCCACACAGAGAACCACGGACTTAAGCGTCAGTGGCTCTGCCGTGGCCCCCGTCTTGACCGGCCTTTTCTTTTCCTTCCCAGCAGGATGCCTGTGGTGCCTCTCGCAGCCGTCCGGCCACGAGGAGGGTCAAGCGGGCCTGGGTCATCCCCCCCATCAGCCTACCTGAGAACCACCGGCGGCTGCCCCACCTTCTGGTCCAGGTGGGTGGCAGAGACCGGGGGAGGGGGGGCAGCTGAGGTTCGCAGGCGGAGTTTGAGGAGGGAAGGGGAGCTCTTCTTTTGCTGCTGCTAACTTGGGGTCTCTCTCAGAGGAGGTGGTGGCGGGACACCGAGCCCCTCTCCGGCCACACACCCTCCCCGGCTGTTTCGCAAGGCCAGGGCCTCAATCCTCCGCAGCCAGGTTTGTTCCGGCTCCAGAGGCAGGACGTGCTTAGAGGCAGCCCAGTTGGCACCATTCTGCATGCTTTGGGGATTAGCGCAGGGGTGAGATGCTCCTGGTTTGGAACGGATTGCCCGACCCGGTAGCGATGGCGGCGGGTGGTTCAGAGAACCAGTAGCAAAAATCCCTGCCCCCCCCCACCCCATGCCCGGCTCAGCCGTGCAATCATCAGAGGCTTTTTTTTTTTTTCTTTTAAAAGCATCTTTTCTACATGTTTTCGGCCCAGGAGGTTGTAGAAAAAACGCTTTTAAAAGGCTCTGACGATCCCAGCTGAGTTGCCTGATCGCGAGAGCCTTTTTTTTTCTTTTAAAAAAAGCCTCTGACAATTAGGCAGCTGGGATCGTCAGAACCTTTTAAAAGCATTTTTTATCAACCTCTTCGGCCAAAGAGGTAGTAGAAAAAAATGCTTTTAAAAGTTAAAAAAAAAAAAGGTGACCACGCCCACCCAGTCACATTACCCCCCCACCAAGCCACGCCCACAGAACTGGTAGTACCAAATTTTACATTTCACCCCTGGATTAGCGTCATGAGGGATGGGCGTTCATAAGCCCCCTTGATGGCCGGGGGTGATGGTCCTGCTTCTCCCCATGCCTCATGTCCCCTGAGCCCTCATTCCCAGGGGATCCCACTCCCCATCAAATTCTAGAGGAGCGTCATCATGTTCCCCTAAGGCCGCCTTCTGCACGCCACAAGCCCCGTGTTCATTCTTGACATCTGTAGGAAGAGCTGGGAAAACGTTGGCTGAAACTGCAGCTGGAGTCGTCCCTGGACAATGGCCTGACTCGGGAGCCTCTGCTGGTGGGATGTCGGCCTTTTCCAGCTTCGGGGGGGGGGGGGGGGGGGGGGGGGAGAGGGAAAGAGTTTGGGGGAGGCCTTCTCACCCCCCCGGAGTCCGCTTCCCTTCCTGCAGATTAAGTCAGACAAGCAGCAGCCGGGGGTCGTGGTCTACAGCATTAAGGGTCCCGGGGTTGATGAAGACCCCAAGGATATCTTCTCCATCGATAATCGGAGTGGCAAAGTCTACCTCAACACTGTGCTGGATCGGGAAAAACACGATCGCTTTCGGGTGAGGAAGCGGGGGTTGGACTCTGATCAGGATCCAGATGTTTGGGTCCCCCGGCCCCCCAGTTCCATCCAAAGGGAGGCGGCAGAAACTCCACTACCTCCAACCAACCCTCAAGAATTGCACTGCC